AAATGTATTCTCCACCCAATATGCTCACACTTTAAGAAACAAAGCGATTTCCATCTGCTGTCCTTAATGAAGCAGCAAAAATGATTGTTCTGATTAAATAATGACTTTTGAGTACACAATTTAATATGTTGTTAAAGTGGTAGGTAGGCATAAAGTACTTCTATGCATTGAAGATTAGTGGTTATGTTGAGAAAAACTTGTATGTGATGGTTTGCATTTATAAGCTGAGGTAACCATTTTTTAATGAAACACCACTTGTCTGTCTTTTTTTTCTTTTGCTTTTTTGTTTTGTTTTGTTTTTAAAAAAAAAAAAAAGACGGGGGGCGCCTGGGTGGCTCAGTCAGTTGAGCGGCTGACCTCGGCTCAGGTCGTGATCTCTCTGTCTGTGAGTTAGAGCCCCGCGTCGGGCTCTGTGCTGACAGCTCGGAGCCTGGAGCCTGTTTCGGATTCTGTGTCTCTCTCTCTCTCTGACCCTCCCCCATTCATGCTCTGTCTCTCTCTGTCTCAAAAATAAATAAACGTTTAAAAAAAAAAAAGACGGAAAACTGGTTCTTAGACTTTGGTATCTGGCAGTTTCTAGAAAATGAATGAAGTGAGCCTGCATTACGTGGCAAATAACGAACAGTATTTATTGCCAAAGAAAACATGTAAGCCTTCTACTGAAAATTAGATATTGGAAAACATATATTCTGCCATGAATATGATAGCTTCCCAACACTTAATGACTTTTCTCATGAATTGGTAGTAATATTCACATACGTGATTTTCTGATATGCAGAAATATATCAACATTTCTAAGAGTGGTGTAAGCCAATAATACATTCCAAATAGCTAATGTTACAGAATTTTCTCATCAGTAAAAGATCCATTCAAAGTATAAGACAAGTAGATTTTACTGTGCAAAGAATAAGAAGTTTACATTCCACATTGCAGCTAACCTTTGAGAAATGTCATTTGTCAAGTTTTGGTTGGTATCAAAGAAGAGTATCTATAGTTCTGGAAAGATTATTAAAATAGTATTCCAGCTAAGTATTTGTGGTATTCTTTTTTTCTTCATATACTTGACATGTTGCAGCACACTGAAATCAGAAGCAAGGATGAGAATCCAGATGTCATCTCTCAAGCAAAATGTAAAACAATGCTACTCTCCCACTAAATATGCTTTGTTTTGTAAAATAGAATTTTCTAAAATTCTGTTGTTAATGTTAACATATAATGGGTTTATTATTAAGTTAAAAATGAACTAAGGAACAAATATTTAAATTGTTTTCATTTCCACTTCTAATATGGTAAACATCCCTAGCTATAACCCACACAAACAAAAGCTCTTTGGGGTCCTCAGTAATTTTTCAAGTCAAAGTGTCCTGAGATCAAAATTTGGAGAGCATTGGTCTAGGCTGGTCTCCTTTGGGGCATACTTAAACATCTTACACATTGGGGGTGCCTGGGTGGCTCAGTTGGTTAAGCGTCTGGCTTCACCTCAGGTCATGATCTCACGGTTTGTGAGTTCAAGCCCCGTGTCGGGCTCTGTGCTGACAGCTCAGAGCCTGCTTCAGATTCTGTGTCTCTGTCTGCCCCTCCCCAGCTTGGTGTCTCTGTCTCTCTCAGAAATAACCACCTAAAAATTTTTTAAAAACATCTTACCATTGTACTACTTCTACTTAACCAGTAAGCTTTTCTTTCTTTAACATGTCTGAAATTGGGATGGCTGCTGTTTCAATCTCTATGTATAACTAATGTAGTATTTCTTTAACTTTCTGAAATCAAATGATGGTATTAGTTAAAATCAGTGTATGACTTCTCAATGTATATAATTCTACTTAGAAAACAACAAAACTTCCCTTTTACTAAATTGAGACTAACATGTATCTCTAAGTAGCTGGAAATGGAATTTGTTTTCCAGTGAATTGCTGATTAATAGAACTAATTTCGTGATTTGGACAGTGATTCAGCACCAACCAGGGCGCCTGAAGGTCTGGCCAGGAAGTAGTTCCTGAGCTCCTCATGTCGTCTTGCTGAGCCTCAGCTTACTCATCTGTAAAGTGAGTCACATGTTTCTCCATTGTGACTAATGTAGAAACTTATTAAAAAAAAATTCACATCATTGCAAATTAAGTCAGTGGTTCTAATATAAGGTTACTTAAGTAAAGTGTGTGTGTGTGTGTGTGTGTGTGTGTGTGTGTGTGTGTATAAACTGTATAAAAATGCCCATAATTTTCACGCAACCATAAAACCAAGAAGAAATTATAAACTAATGCAAATACAAGCTTACCACATCAGTGTGAGAGACAGCGGTGTGTTGCTGAGTCTAATCACAGGCAGCATGAGTGTAGACCACCACTGTGTGCATGTGGTCTTTGCGTTTGGACCTAGTGATGCTGCTGGCATGCACTGTGATGGTTCTGTTCTTTCAACACATCGAACTGCAGGAAAACCTTGATTTCAAGATGATCAGGATACTACTTGGCATTTTTTTAATTACGTACACATTGTTTACTTTTTAAATTGAGTTCTGTTCTTTTCTCATTAGCCCAGTACTCAAGCCTAGGACACCTTCCTGACTGTGACAGTGGACAGAAATGAAAATGGAGCCTTGAAATTGCATAAGGGTACTTGGTTACTAGGTAGTACAAGTGAAAGACCCATACTATCCTATCTATTATTTCCTTTTATGGATATCACTAAAATGAAGACAAAGTTTAATGTGCAAAGAACTGACAGGAAGGGCTGCTAAATAGTGCATCTCCTGGGTTGTCCCTCACCCTGCAATTATGTAAATGCTGCCCTGGTCCAGTGCCCTGGCATCTACCCAGAAGGGACAGCCCATAGGGTCTGCAGTCTCCACTGTCACCTACCTCCTCTCTAGTTTCCCTTTCCCCCCACATCTACAATTTCAAGAGTTGTAGATACCAGAGGTAAAAGGCTAATTATTTTTACCTGTTTCAGACTAACAGATTAACACAGTGATCATGTCCCATCAGAAGATGATGGTCCTCTTTATTTTATCTGCATCCTATATGCAATTTATTTTTTTTCTGGGAAATATTTTGAAAAGCAGGTATAGTAAGCTGTTTTATTTTGTCTAAGCAAATTCAGAGACACTATATAGTTCTTGAATTTATTTTGGGGTTGAAATATACTTTTATGTGATTGTTTTATTGTGGATAGAACTTTTGATCGTTACTTCTGTACTGTTTTTTAAAGACCATCTCTTGTGAGTAGTGCTTCCTTTAGACTTACACACACAATGCACACATGCATGCATACACACACATAGAAGTTGAGGTGTGCAGAGTTCCTTAACAGCTAAATTAATAACACCCCTGTAATTGGAATGCAACAGAACTCATATCCAAGAAGCAGTATTATTTTCCAGAGCTCTTTTTTTCTTCCCCTCCTTATTTTGCTTTTCTGCTTACATTTTTGATTTGATGGGAACAATTTTGTTATTTGGGAGGGAAGTTTTTTTTATAGTAAAAACATTGTAGTGTTAACACATAGATTGTTAGATGTATATTTTTGTGAACCTGTTTTGAAAATGACTATATAGTTCTTAGTGTGTTTTATTTTTGGGTGCAATGTAAGTAGTTAAGGGCTGTCACATGCTTTTACTTACACTTAAAAATTAGAAATTATTTTTCTCTAATAATTTTCATGTGTTACTCCCAGCAAATTAAGATAACAATTAACAATGTTAAATGTTCAGCATTTTTTTTTCTGGTGATGTTCCTCAGGCTCTATTATTATCAAATCCTCATGATGTAGAAGCATATGTTAAAAGCAGTGTTAAACGATTGATATGCTTCTGTTTTCTCTGATCATTTCTAATTTGCTTTAACATCTTTGAGACTATTGGATTGACAGTGGTTTAAATATCACCTTCAATGTGTATAAATAGTCTGTGTTTAGTTGAGTATTGTCTAGGATCTATGTATCCACACCATTGATCAATGCATCCGTGTTCCCAAAATGGTTTTCATAGAGTAAATGCTGAGTTTACACCACCATTAAAGCTGTTTCATTAGAGACTTTCTATAAATATTTACCTTGCATTCTAGTTTTTGAAAACAGATGATCTCTCACATAATTAAGCTGAATTTTTTGTCTTATATTTATTATGTTTTTGAGCGATTTTGCTCAGTTGATGAGTGGAGTTTTTGATTCTCATTCCCAGTGTTGCAGACTTGTTCCTTCTCTGCTGTACCAGTGATTGTATCTGCTAAGATGTGCTCAGTGCTACTGATACAAACATTAGCCTGAGCTTGTTAATGATTGTGTTATAACAGTTGCAAACAGACTTCTCTTTTATGTGAATACAATTGCTAAAACACTGTCTTTCATGTAATTGTGTATGCGAGTATATTGCAGACACTACCTGTGTATTAGCAATTGCTTTCAAGACTTCCATTTAAGGATAAGGAATATGTTCATGTTCTATATTTTCTGATAGTACTTCCTTGAAGAAAATAATTATCTTACTTAACAGAATTCTTTAATGGACAAGCCAAACAGTTTAGGTTGTGTATCTTTAATCCAGATATGATTAAAAGTGAGATGAAATTTGTTCCACGGATACATTGTTATTTATCTTTTAGAATATGATATTTTACTTAAAAATATTTGGTACTGTTTTAAGCACTTTATCTCATTTAGACCTCAAGATACCCTCAAAGTTTCTATTCTATGGCCGTTCACATAGGAAGGGACTAGAGGCAGACAGTAGTCAGGCAACTTGCACAGAACCACAACTTGGTGAAGTGCAATTAGGAGCCTGGGCAGTCTTACTCCAGAGCAGGTTATCTCATACGTAGTCCTTTTCTTTTGCTGAAAAGTGCTTTAAAGGAGCTAATGGAGTCTCTATTTAGAATGCTGACCCACTGTCACCTTAAAAGTGTTACTCTATCCTTTAATTTTTTGGATTTCCCTACCTTTATCCTAACATGCAGTTTTCAGACATTAGTTATCTTTTTAAAAAATATAATGCTTTTTTGTATTTATAGATATGCCTCTTCATGTCCGACGAAGCAGTGACCCAGCTTTAATTGGCCTTTCAACTTCCATTAGTGATAATAGTTTTTCTTCTGAAGAGCCTTCGCGGAAAAACCCCACACGCTGGTCAACAACAGCTGGCTTCCTTAAGCAAAACACAGCTGCTAGCCCTAAAACCTGTGACAGGAAGGTAACCATTTCTATTTTGTATTAGTATCAATGATGAATGTCAACTGTTGACTGGATCCTTTGCTTCTAGCACATCTTCACTATGGCCCTTTGTGTGTGTACTTATCAACTTCTCCGTCAAAGTCGAGATAACTTCCTGTTTTATGTTGCCCTTGCAGTTTCTGAGAAATTTCATGCTATTTATACATTTATGTATGTATCCATTTTTTTGAATCGATAATATATTTATGATTAAAAATGAAAACTTCTGACATGCAATGTGTTTGTCCTTTGTGTTTTTTGAAGAAAAACTAGTCATCCTGTTTTTCTTCAGGGGCAGTCCTCTTACCATTACCTTTTTGCATGTCCTTACAAAGATATTTTACACATGTATAAGCAGATATTCGTATTGATTCATGAGGTGCATTAAAGAAATTATAACATTATGGACTTTTAAGGATGAAAGTGGACTCCACAGTCATTTATTCTAACTGCTCCATTGACAATTTTATCTTCCTACAGAATGGAAGTGTACTGTCTGGTCTTAATAACATTTTCTTCTTTGACCTAATTTATTTCAGTCTGTGATCTAATTTATTTAGTCTAAAAAATAAACTTTATTTTAGTTTATTCTGTTTTTTTCAATTTGTTTCTTAATGCTCTTCGTCATATATTCCTATAGAACTCTTAACATCCTATTCTGTTTTACCTCTAACTTTTTACTCGATGAGCTTTAAGCACTGTTTGTCATTTTCACTCCTGAAACTGTTGAGTGTCAGTAAATATCTGTTGAATGAATGAATGAATATTTTTTTTCAATGCAGATAGCAATTGAGCATCATGTATATTGAGAAATGTGGAACTATACTAATTACATATTAATATTAAAATGCATATAGCTTATGATTTGCTTGATTTATCCTTTGCATCTATGTGAAAATACCTGTTTTAAATTTTTTTAACTTGGTGTTGCATTTTTACAAACTCTTCTTTGTAGTAGTTCATTTAGAGGGAAAAATACTTAGAGTACCTAGAGTACCTTAACTGAGAAGAATCTACCCGGAAAACACAGTGTACTGTGGTCACTAATGTTTTGGAATAGGCGTTTAACTGTTAGGCTTACTCTTCTGAAATATTTTATTATGTATTTGATGAGGAATCAAATTGGAGTATCTTGTCATTGAGATTAGCTTGAAATTTTAGAATGCTTTATCATGAAGTAGACCATCCGAAGAAGCAGAATCCAATTTATGAAAATGCCTCATGACATTTAATTTGTGTTCAAAATAGACTTAATTTACATGGATATTTACAAGTATATAAACAAGTCAAGTTGGCAATTAAAAAAAATTCATTACTTATTAAAAAGGTTTTCCCATTGTTTAAGGCTAGTGGGTCAGGCGCGCCTGGGTGCCTCAGTTGGTTAAGCATCAGACTTTGGTTTAGGTCATGATCTCCCGGTTTGTGAGTTTGAGCCCTGCATCAGGCTATGTGCTGACAGCTCAGAGCCTGGATCCTGCTTCAAATTCTGTGTCCCCCTCTTTCTCTGTCCCTCTCCCACTCATTCTCTGTCTCTCTCTCAAAAATAAATAAGCATTAAAAAAAAAAAAGATAGTGGGTCAAAAGTCATTGAGGTACAGGGTTTTCTTTTTAACTCCTTCAGCATGTTAGATATGTGAGTCAGCTTCACTTGCGGAAAACAGAACCACAGTAGCTATTTTATTTTATTTACTTTTTATTATTTTTTTTAATGTTTATTTATTTTTGAGAGACAGAGAGAGACAGCATGAGTAGGGGAGGGGCAGAGAGAGAAGACATAGAATCCAAAGCAGGCTCCAGGCTCCAAGCTGTCAGCACAGAGCCCGACGCGGGGCTCGAACACACGAGCTGTGAGATCATGACCTGAGCCGAAGTCAGATGCTCAACCAACTGAGCCACCCAGGCGCCCCCCACAGTAGCTATTTTAACATGAGAGGACTTAATACTGAGAAGTGCTTTCTCAGAAAATCATTGAGGACCATCTGAACGATGCAGTACGGTGCATCTGCCCAGGAAAGAAGCAGAGGCTGCGGGGCAGGAACCTGGAATCCTGCCGCTGCATCTGCCTATAGATGCTAGCACCCTGTCTCTGGGTGTGCTCATCCTGTCTCTTGTCACTTGTGAAGCTTGGAAGTGAACCCAGAAATGCCTCAGAAAACTCCATCATCTATCTCCATACCCAGGCTTGCCACCAGCAGCAGCCCAGGAAAATTCAGCCTGTTTCATAAGAATCATTAACATTTCAGGCTATTGTTTCCAAATGTGCAGAATGCTGTCTGTGTCCAGATCCTTATCTGCAGGGGAGGTTTAAGAAATGGACCTTAGCCTTCCGGTCTCGGCCTCATGCTGCGAGAGGATTGTGATGCGCACTGCCAATTAGTAACCTCACTGACTTTTTGTTTTAAATAACCTATATCTATCATTGTCAAACATTTGGAACTCTAGTACAATAGAACAAACTCAGCAACAACCAGTATGAAGATATTAATGAATACACACCATATGCACGTACACATAATCTCACACACATATATATACCCCCACAGAGTTGGAGTCATGCTATGTCTACATATTTGCATTCGTGTTATTTATATATTTTTTTCATATCATAGTGATTTTCCCTGGTGTGAATTTTATTGGAAAATATTTTTAATGGCTGCAGTATATCTCACTCTAGAATATACTATAATTTATAATTCTCTTACTGTTAGATATTTATACTATTTCCATTTTTTTCACATTATAAATATAAGTGTTGTGAGAGAAACTTGAATGCACTTTTGTTTTAAAAATGGTTATTTACTCAACAAGCTTTTTTTTTCTTTTTTTAAGTTTATTTATTTTGAGAGAGGAAGAGAGCATGAACAGGGGAAGGGCAGTGAAAGAGGATCCCAAGCAGGCTCTGCACTGTCAGCGTGGAGCCCGATGCGGGGCTCAAAGTCATGAACTGTGAGAGCATGACTTCAGCCAAAATCAAGAGTGAGACACTTAGCTGACTGAGCCACCCAGGTGCCCTTCAGCAAGTTTTTTTCTGTATGGGGCAGCATTTAATGTAGCCAATGCCCACAGTTCCTCATAGGAAAGACCTTGATTTACATACATAAGTTTATTTATTTTAAGAGAGAGAGAGAGAATATGCAAGCAGGGAAGGGGCAGAGAGAGAGGGGAGAAAGAGAGTCCCAAGCAGGCTCCATGCTGTCAGCACAGGGTATGATGCAGGGCTTGAACTCATGAACTGGGAGATCATGACCTGAGCCAAAATCAAGAGTCAGACCGGGTGCCCCTACATACATATCTTTAGAGGAAATAATATTCACATTCAACACACATAAAGGATAATGTGTAATGAATTTGTCCTTTGAATTATCATTCGTTTTACTTTTCAAGTACCCATTTTCTAAACTTGCTGTCAATTTTGAGCTATTTGAATTATAATCTGAGAGATTTTCTTTCTTTCTTTCTTTCTTTCTTTCTTTCTTTCTTTCTTTCTTTCTTTCTTTCTTTCTTTCTTTCTTGTATGTGTACATCGGACTAAATGCTATCTTCTTTTCAGTTATAAAATGACTTTCTGTATTTTCAGTATTCAGAAAGGATACTTGGAAGAAAGCATACTTGCTGATAAGTATTAACTTGATTTCTTTCTCTTGAGGCTGTGAGAGCTCACCTATTGCTGGGCAATTTCAAGATAATGATAAATCTTTATGAGTATGTGGTAGTTAGGTTTTCTGTGTAAATGCATGGAAGTAAAGGAGTTGACGATTCATAGTCTTGTGATCCATTGATCTCTAATGGCTAAAATAAGTTGATATACTTGTATAACTCATCTACAGAGCTAAGTGGCTTCTATTCTTTCAAGTTGGTAAGTAAAACAAATAATTTTACAATAATGTCACCAATCAGTTGAAATCTCTTATTTCTGAAGTAGGCAGTTTCATTCTGGTATGTTTGATGCTGAACTCGCTCCTATGGATTCAAAACCAAGATGGGAGGTGAAGTCTTCCCAGTTAAAGTAGTCATTCCATATAAAGTTTAGAGGCCAGTGAAGACAGATTTTGGTGTTGTAGAGACCTCAACCAGGTGAGAGCTTGGAGAGGACAAAGATTCTATGGGCTTTTAGATCTCTTAAAATTCCTCATACTTTGATTTGGAAGTAAGATATAAAAGAAAAGAGAGTCTTGGCTTTTAAAAAAGTTCTTGGGAACATTGTCTCATTTCTGTTTCCCAACATTTTGTGGCTGACTGCCTTTTTCAACTCTTTTAGAGAACATTTTACTCATAATTAATATGGAAAGTATATTGCTACAAGATGTATTTTCATTTGAGATTTTACACGTGCTTAATATTTCATCTTGGGAAAGAGTATTTCAATCAGTGTGAATACTTAAATCACTTTGCCACCTCCTTGGTCACCCTTATTAAGTCATTGTCCCTGCAAATAAAGTCTAACTAGTATGTGGAGAGCATTTGATTCATTCCATCAAGAACAATGTAATGAGGCACTTATCAGAATCAGCCTACCATGAAGTTCAAGGATAAAGTCTATGCATTATTTCATTGTGTATTGGTTTTAAGCAATTATTCCTTTGCCCCAAATACTGAGAGCTGTTACTTTTCTAAGTGATCTGCTCCTTCCCCCCACCTCCAACAAAATAAAATTTGTATAAGTAGATAAAAACAAAGGTATCATAAAAAAGCATATCTTGGCTAGTTCCATGAGACGTTCTTACCTATTAGGGAAAGGGGAAGAAAGTGATAAGAGAACACATTATATTAGCATCAGTATCTTTTAAATTTGTATTATTTTTAAGAGTTCTGTTTAAAAGAGACCTTGGAATGCTTTTGACACCCTGGGTTTATTTGTTTGATTTAGTTGCTTGGCATGTTTGTTATGTTTCCTATCCTCCTGATATGTACAAACTCTTGGAAGAGTTGCTGTCTTAATTATGTCTTTGTCACCTCCCTTTCTGTTCCATGAGAAGAGTT